GTTAGTTTGGACTCCAGGGAAATACGCCGACATTTACATAACGAGCTTCATCATCATCATCGTCATCGTCATTGTCAACGCTCATTTACATAAGAGCTTTAATTAAGTGTGTGTGTGTGTGTGTGTGTGTGTGTGTGTGTGTGTGTGTGTGTGTGTGTGTAGGTCAGAGTGACATCCTGTCAGACCAGCAGAGACCTGGGGGGGGCAGATAGTGTTCTGGTCTCAAAAGACGACACGTAACCACAGCAACAGTATAGTCACGGGGGCCTCTCTAATGTGTGTGTGTGTGTGTGTGTGTGTGTGTGTGTGTGTGCACGTGGACTTGCCTCTCCTGCCGCCGTGCTCGGGTGTGAAGCCCTCTGCAGCTGCACATGGGTCCTCTTTGAACCTGTGAAAAGGCTGCAGGGTTAAAATCCTCAAACAGACGAGGACAGAAACACGCGGAGAGTTTTAACCCCTCCCCTTCAGACCGCACAAACGCCGTTTCCTTCTCCAGGTGAGCTGCAGGTGCGAACACACGAGGACGGACTCTTTATCGATGTGTAACTGCAGCTGGAGGAGGTCAGTAAAAACCAGCGTTTTAGTGTTTTAGTGTTCGGGCCGCAATAAGGAACAAAAAAGGAAGAGTTTGAGAATAAAGTGGTAATAAAATCATTATTTAAGAGAATAAAGTTCTAAAGTAAATTTGTTCTTGAAGCTTCTTTAGTGCAGGAGGAGATGTCTGAGCCGGTCACCTGCAGAGTTCTCTGTGGGTTCATCAGCAGGTCATTCAGAGACTTTTTCTAACTGATGATCAATATTTACGATTCAGAGAGTCGAGCTCTGATGACGACACCGACAGGAACCTCCACCTGCAGAGGCACCAACACCTTATCATGGAGAACAGATTCATACGACAAACTAAAGACATATAAACTAAAGTTATAAACTAAAGTTATAAACAAAAGTTATAAACTAAAGACATATAAACTAAAGTTATAAACTAAAGTTATAAACTAAAGTTATAAACTAAAGACATATAAACTAAAGTTATAAACTAAAGACATATAAACTAAAGACATATAAACTAAAGTTATAAACTAAAGACATATAAACTAAAGTTATAAACTAAAGACATATAAACTAAAGTTATAAACTAAAGACATATAAACTAAAGTTATAAACTAAAGTTATAAACTAAAGACATATAAACTAAAGTTATAAACTAAAGTTATAAACTAAAGTTATAAACTAAAGTTATAAACTAAAGACATATAAACTAAAGTTATAAACTAAAGTTATAAACTAAAGTTATAAACTAAAGACATATAAACTAAAGTTATAAACTAAAGACATATAAACTAAAGACATATAAACTAAAGTTATAAACTAAAGACATATAAACTAAAGTTATAAACTAAAGACATATAAACTAAAGTTATAAACTAAAGACATATAAACTAAAGTTATAAACTAAAGTTATAAACTAAAGTTATAAACTAAAGTTATAAACTAAAGTTATAAACTAAAGTTATAAACTAAAGTTATAAACTAAAGACATATAAACTAAAGTTATAAACTAAAGTTATAAACTAAAGTTATAAACTAAAGTTATAAACTAACGTTATAAACTAAAGTTATAAACTAAAGTTATAAACTAAAGTTATAAACTAAAGTTATAAACTAACGTTATAAACGTCAGCACTGAGGGACTGAAGCTCTGCACAGACGTTCACAGATGTTCACAGACGTTCACAGACGTTTACAGACGTTCACAGACGTTTCCTCCTCCTCAGAAACAGAGACTCCCTACAGGTCCTCCTGGTTCTTTCTGAGGAAACTCCTGATTCTGACGATGATGTGATGATGAAACGCTGAAGGATTTAGGATCTCCATGTTTGTGAAACTGAGTTACTGAAGTTCAGCTCATGGAGAAGCTCCACAGAAGATCTGATCTAAAGAACCATGAAGGTCAGAATATGATCTACCACTTTATCCTGTCAGTAACGACGAAGCCTCATCTGTTTTTCTTCATGTGGCCCTAACGCTCGGTTGGGGGCGGAGCCACGGTTGTACCCGTGTATTTCCTGAACTTCGCTGATATCTGGTCGTTTATTTAAACCACGCCCCCCTGGTCTTCGGTGACGGTTCGTCTGCTCCTGTCTCTGTTCTCTGGAGTCTCATGGACTAACCTCAGATCCCTCTAAAAACCGTCAGGAGCTTCAGAAACAGCTGATCTGTGTTTACACCGAGACCCTGAGATCACCCCCCGCCCCGTCTCACATGTTGTCCGTCTTCTGGGCGTCCCACTCTCGTCTCCACTGGCCGGTGGCGTTGCGATGGCGAGCGAGTCTCTCCTCATCGATCTGCTCCCTCTCCTTCTTCCAGCGTAGATACTCGGCTCGCTCTCGGCCCGTCATGGACATGGTCATGTCCACAGAACCTTTGGGACCGGGTCTTCGACTCTGCAGAGACGGGAGGGGGTCACAAAGTCAGACCTGTCCCCAAACTCTGGATCTGG